GACACATGCTTGGGTTCCCACACAAACCATCTTATCATTAGGACCCAAAATGGCCAAATTTCATGGTCCTTGGTGCTATCACCTCGGTTGAAGGGCCATGCAGACGTAGCACTCAGGGTTGACATGCAAGTGGGTTTTGTGTGCAAGTGCTGCGACCGGTGTTGGATTCTGATGGACCCCAAACAGGCAACTCCAAGCATATGGGAGGAGATAATAGGAATATACCTACCAGGGTCCTTACGTTCCCATTGTATTCCTACTATATTCTTGGGGTTCCCTGTTGTGGAGTCCCCATTTTACGACTATTACATTATTACTGCATAACAATATAATGATTTATTACTATGATGGTGACTACTATTACCGTTGCTATCTAGTGCTGCTACTTGAAGGATCAAGGGGACTTCGTCAGTAGGTTAGTAACACCTATAACCCATATAACAATCCTCCCTGACCCTCCAAGTATTCTCAGGTGGTCTGTTCTACTTAGAGGTTCCAGAGACAGAGTACCCCCATAAAGAGTCCCATATATTATGATCCTTGTTTGACGGGTCCCGAAAAAGAGACCCAAGAAATTTGGAAGTCTCAATTTGGGGTCCTACAGTGTTGTGATTGAAAGCCTGGCCAGATACCCTAAATCCAAAGCCCTCAACCTTAAACCCTAAACCCTCAAAAGCCTGGCCAGATACCCGATTCACTTCCACATCACGCAGGCGGATTGATGCCTTTCTCTGTGGGTCTCCTACCCTTAGGAGTTTCCCCAAATTAGGTGGTTTAGGGTTTCCCAAAATTAGGTGGTTTAGGGAGTTTCCCAAAACTAGGTGGTTTAGGGTTTAGGGATTTGGGTGTAGGGTTAAGGGTTTAGGGTGCAGGGTTGGCAGGGTTTCCCAAAATTAGGGATACGTGTTAGGTGCCGAAGCGAGCAAAATCCTAGCTTCCACAAATAGGGAGACCCAATATGGACCCCAAAACTGTTACCCTTCTCATAAGGACGCCTAGAGAGGTACCCATGTTTCTGGTAATCTTAAAGCAGAGCTGGAATCACCAAGCCTTCAAGGGAGCAAGAGAAGAAAAGATACCATAATTTTGGGAAACCCTGAGCTCTACACCCAAATCCTTAAACCCTAAACCATCTGATGATCTTGACACTCCTCCGCATGCACGCCTGGCAGCAGCAGTGAGACAATCCGGGCTGCGCAGTTTAAGTTCTGATCACCGGCAGGGAGTTTTTGACATGCCGTTTTCGGCTTGCCACACCCGTAGCACGCTATCTGCAATCGCTCAGCCACTCGTTGGTGCCAGTCCTTTGATGCTGCTAGGTTTCTTATGGTTTCTTGAGAGCTACAGTGCTGCGTCTGCAAAGATCAGGATTGCAAGCCAGAACAAATAATAAAAGTAACAATAGTAACAGCAATGATGACAGTATGACTCATAAGGGTTACTTCACTTCAGTATGACTTGATCGAGGACTACGGCCAGTACTGCTTTGCCAAGTACAACTCCATCCATCACAGCTTCCAGAGAGCCTGGAGCTCAACTCCAGTTGCGTTGCATGCCTGTTCAGGCACTAGGTACTTCAGTGGTACCCTTTTCCCCTTTTGATTCTGGGATCTCCTTATTAAAGCTGCAAATTATTATAGGGTTTACTGGGGAACCTAGGGCATCATCACAAGCTGCCTACATGACATTTGACTAAAAAGACTTCTGTGTGGTACCCAGTGTTTGCAGCCACCTAGCGGACCAATTTGTGCATAGATCCATCTTGGGGGGGGCCCTGCAACGTTGTGCCAGGCTGTGGCCGTGCACAGCACCAACTATGTCCTTGTGAAGGGCAACGTCGCCTTCGACATCATCGGGCACATGCTTCTAGCCGGGACTTTTGGGCTCATCCGCAGTCTTGCGTGTTGGAACGGTACTGCAGGATCAGGTTTTAGCAGCGTCATTCGCAGGATTCTTGGGGGAAGGGACCATTTTGCAATGCGCGAGGGGCTCTTGTGGAAACGTAATCGAGAAGTAACTCTTGGACCGTGTGGATGGCCTAGTTTGCCTAGTTCTCTCAGCTTCCAGGTCCTAGTTTCCTTGTCTGGATGCTGGCAAACATGGTCTGCTAATTTCTCTGGTTTTTGGTAGGCCATTTGCTGGTCTCCCAGGTTTCCTTGTTTCCGTCCCTGTGCTCCGGGTTTCTGGGTTTCCTGGCTGCCCGGCAGACTGGTACCCTGGTTTCCGAACTTCCTCGGAAATGCTGGTAGCTTCATGCATGCTCGTGGGTACGGATGCACGCAATGACGGACGTCATGATTGTTTAAGAGGCGATGCCCTTTTCCAATGTTTTTGTTTGATCGACACCTTGGGGAATGGATGCGCTGGCAAATGGACCTTAATGTGGTTTGGGCATGGATTGTTGAGAACGCATGAACATGGGCGCTCTAGTGTTTTGGGCATGGGTGCTCTTTGGGACACATGTATTTATACATTGAAGATAGAATGGCTTGGGCATTTTTGGGAGAATTGCATTTATAGATGCAATGGCAAACTGCTTTCTGGCCCAGGTGCGTTCGTGGATGCTCATAGTTTAAACATAGATGCTCTTGGTAATGGATGCCCTCGTGGATGGACTTTATCACGCTTGGGGCATCGATGCTCTTGGGAACTGGATGGTTGCATGATGACATAGCCTGCTATTCTTAAAGAAAGTCTTGTGCTCCAAAATGGCGCGTACAAAAACGCTGGCTTTCAATTTGACACAAATCTTCATTCCATGATGAGCAGCTTTCCATGTTAGGGACACCACTGCTGAATCTGAGGTTCTTCATTGAGACCGGAATGGAGATGTCGCAGCCTTGTACGCCCAAATGTCTCAGGGTGGTGGGTGGTAGTACAAGGGCCCTTGCTGTGGGCAAAGCACTCGCCGTGCCATTTGGTAAGCTCAAGCGGTTATCCACTGCGTGCACTGCTCAAGTATAGGCTGTACTGTCCTTAGGAATTATTTTTGTTTTCTATTATAGTATAAGCCTAAGGAAATATTTAAAATGATATTTGTATTATAGGTCTAAGGAGACTACAGTAGAGTCACTGAAATCAAGAAGGGCGAGCCGAGGCACAACACGTTGGAGGGCAACCTGGCAGCGTGCGCCCAAGAATGTTTGCTGCATGGCCCACAGAAGATCTGGTCCGACTCGGCGCCAGCCCTCTAAAACCCTTGCAGTTTGTCAACATCCTCAGTGTTTAGCGTTTAGGGTTTGGGGTTTAGGGCTTCAGTTTTCTAATTAGTGTGGACCGTACCATTATGGGGAGCACTACTGCCAGCACGACATGCGAGAAGTGTGCGGAGATAGCAAGACGAGGCACCTTTTCATCAAACCCACATGGAATGACATTGCTCCATGCTTTCTTAGTACCAGAGCAGCCATGTAGGAGGTTTCAAAATCAGACAAATAGCCACCCCTATAGGCAAGTTGCAGACTGAACTTCAGGAACTCCGAAGAGTATCAGCTTATCATCCCCCCCCCACACACACGCAGAAGAATGCCAGCTAACCAAGACCCCTTTCCAATTATTTACTGCCTAAAACCTGAACCGCGATCTACCCCGAGCTCTGAAGCTTTTTTTTTTAGGCTTTAGGGTTTGGGTTTCAGGGTTTGGGTTTCAGGGTTTGGGTTTCAGGGTTTGGGACCTTCGCCCAAGGTCGGGGCCATCCCGCTGTTGTCCGGCATGTTGGAAAGCGACCAGGAGGGAAAAGATACGGAAGCTAGCTAGACCTCCAGGGGTCTTGTTTGAAGTTGAACGTAGCGCTGAACAACTTTTGGTACACAGAAGCTTTATGTACTTGTAATCCCTATACTGTCCGACTTCGAGGTCTCCACAATCCCCTTGACATGAGACATGTTTCCCTAGGGTTTGGCGACCAGCATGCCTCAAATCAAGCTGCTTGAGCTGCACAAAAACTAAAGGTGTCGGACGGGCTCCCCTAAGGTCTCCCGTGGTCCTTATCTGGGGCCCCCTTAAGCCTTCATGAGCACCCGGCATTCTCTAGCATGCTCGTGATTTGCTGGGAGGCTTTGCAGGAACCTGCGCAACGTCTTTTGTTGCAGGGTGAAACAGTCTTTTGAGACTCGCAAAGCCCGATACACCGATTCCCGCAACCTGAACTGCCAGTCAGCCCCGCTCCAATCTCTAACTCTAAGCCTCCAGAACTCAACTACATTGAACATACATACGTATATATTCAGATGTACATACTATGCATTTTGTATACAGGTACCAACCGACAGACTCCAAAACTAGGTATATGTGTGTACTTATATATACAGGTCTAAGTTGCATGTAACCCCTACAAGATCACAGTGTGACCCCTCTATGAGCTCAAAGCTCTCCAGGAGCCTGCTGGCTTCTGGACAGCTGCCATGAACAACGTCTGGAGGGACAACGCTGGAGCGCCCAGGATGAGGGATTGCGGGGTCCTACATGGTAATTTCCCAAAATGGGGGGACCCCAATATAGACCCCAAAATAGTATAGTCCTTATTATTGGGACCCCCCAAATGGTACCCCTGATTTTGGGGAACCCCCACATAGACATCCTTCTTAGAGTTCTGCATACTACGGGGACTATGCAGACTTGTAGAGCAGCAGCAGCAGCAGCAGCAGCAGCAGCAGCGGCAGCAGTGATACCGGCAGCCTGGTAAACCTTTCCATGAATGCCAAGTGACAGTCATAGCATCAATACTGGCAATCGTTCAGGTTGCTTTTGCGCTGCTTGTTTCAAAGTTTCTCTGCTGTTTGCTGAGACAAGTAGTCTCAACTTGTCTGCAGAGACTCGTTTGGCTCAGCCAATCACATATACTACCCTTTTCGATTGCCGTTCCGTCCATGGCAACCGGCGCGCCGCTCCTGGCCAGAAGGGCAAGGCTGGCTGCCGAGTTTTGGCCCCCCGCCTGTCCCTGACCCCTACCCGGGAAGCCCGGAAGCCCGTCAGCATGCTTCAATGTTTGACTCTGCCAGGGCCACTCCAAGGCCTCGATCTTCCACGGTGCAGATGAGTACCTTGAGGTGCTGAAGCGCAAGTACGAAGCCGAACTCAGATCGGAAAGGTTTTGTTTGTAGTAGCTTCGAAGTCAGGATCGCTCAGATAAGCTGTCGGGCGACTTTGCTGACAGTCGTCGAGCTTTTTTGCACCAGGAAAATGACCACGAGATCGCAGCTTTGAAGAACGCCCTTCCAGGCGAAGGGGACGCAGTAGGCGCTGCACCCAGCAACGACAAGATGCTCTCGGTCCAGAAGAACAACGAGAACCGGAGTCCGAAGACCAACGCTCTTCCCCACTTCGAAGAAGCCGGATCCCAAGCCGCAGAATCTGGCATTCCTCTTCACCAAGATCACTCCAGATCCTGTTCTGATATGGCAGTTTTTTGACATTCTAGTTCGCCAAGCCATTGGCGTTCATGTAATCGTTAGCAGGGCTGCGGACCAGCCAGCAGCGGCGGCACCTGTTCCGGTGCGCGCTTAACGGAGACCACTATCTCCACTAATCCTTGGCGATGTCTTTCTTCCGGAACTGACCAAATTGCTCTTTTTGGTCAGTTCCGGAAGAAAGCGGTCGCCAAGGACTAGTGGGGATATTGGTCTCTGTAAAGCGCGCACCGGAACAACTGGCTGGTCCGCAGCTCCACCAAAGACTTCCACAGTGAACCAGACGAGTGAAAAGCTTTGCTCAAGTTGGAGTGCTTCTGCCGGCGTCGATCTAGGTTACGAGGATTTAGGGGGTGTCTCCGACATGTGGGTTGTTGCAGACATTGCACCGGTAGCAGCAAACCTGTGAGTGCATTGGTTTCAACTTGCCTGAGGGATTTGTGTAAGTTCTGCGGGCAACTCCGTGAAAATGCTACTATTCTCTCGCGCTGGCGTTCAGGTGGTTCACGCTTAATGATTCAAGCATCAACTGCCGTTCGCGCTCTGTAGGCAACTGCTGTCATGACAGCATGCTTCATGAATGTCCCAGATGAATGCTGTAGATACTGTAGATGCACTAATTAGGAACTTACCAATCCCAAATTGTAGTTTCCATTTTCTTTTCCATTCTCGTATTATCCCCTATATATAATCCCTCTTATGCCAACCCCTATTTCTATAGTCCCCACTTTCTTATCCCTTATATACATACACACACACATATATATATGTATACGTACATATACCTAAACCCTAAACCCCATATAGAATCCCTACCATATTCTCTCCCATGTGTCAGTGTAGCGTCTTCCTGCACTAAGCCAAGGTGGCAGTCACGGGCTCCGACGGTTGGTACTTCCAGCTGCCCCAGCCTCGTTCATGATCCCCTAAATCCGTTTAGGGTTCAGGGTTTAGGGTCCTTGCTTTCTGGGGGTTAGGGAATATGGCAGGATATTTCATAGGGATTATACAGGGATAATATTCCCTTACTGGTTCTTAGTACTGGGTTGCTGCTAAGGAGCTTAAATTAAGCTACGGTTCATCAGGAAATCGTATTATTTCCTATATGCCCATAAAGCCACCCAGTTGTCGCCGAAGGATGTTTGAGAGTAGTGAAGGCTGCTGTGGGTCCAGTTGAGTCTGTCATGCTGTTTCCTTTTTTAAGGGGGTTTCCCAAAATCAGGGGTACCTTTTTGGGGGTCCCCATAATAAGGATTAGAGTATTTTAGGGTCTATATTGGGGTCCCCTTATTTGGGGAAACTACCTTTTGTGTTGAGAGTGGCGCATGCCAGCTGAGCCGGTGTTGCAAGGAGAGAAGCTGGCTTTTGGGAATGTCGATGCAAAGCTGTTCTTTAGTGAGGCCTGGCACGCCAATCTCGCACAACATGGACATCTACAAGGCACGAACATACTCATCCGTTCATTGGCCGTTGAGGGGTACCCTCAACGATATGGTCTTACTCATCCAGATGTGTTTTTGGCAGGAGCTTCCCCAATTTTTTCGAATAAGTAGACACATGAACTTGTTCTTCGCTTCGTTCGGAACTGGATGGTTCTAGTGAACAAGCGATGTGTGTTCTCTAGGGGTCTGCGGGGAAAGAGTGCGAGCGTTCATGCTTGGAGCAGTGGTCTGTGTAGTTGAGTTATATTGGGGCGGAGGTGGGCGCACTGAAGCAATCTTTCCGATCACGTGGAGTTCAGCAGCAGAAAGACGCCGCAGCTAGCATGGCCTTTCGGTCAAGAGCTTTGAGGCTCAAATGTTAACAACCATATGGCAAAGTAAGAAGCATGGTAACAGTCCTGGAATTGAAGCCCAGAGTCCAACTCGCCTCAGCCACGGAGAGCGCCCACAATGCAGAACAGCTCAGCAAGCATATTATCTACTTCAACGCCTCGGCAGAACCTCAGCCTACATCACCAAGTTTTCGCTTCATCTTTTGTTAGGGTCTCGGGCATTCAGCATCTGAAAACAGGCCCAACCTCAAATCCCAACACAAGCTATCATCAGCTCCTATGCCCCGACTTTCAGAACACGATCTGCCCCGTGGGCGATCGGATCGGCGAGTGGAGCCGGAATCGTTGCCACCATTTGCCAGGCCACCTCTCCGTTGTGCTAGGGAGTTATTAGCTAAAAATGGAGAATCAGATGGAAATGCAAACCGACAATGACATGGAAAGTTCAGTTCCCTACGCATATGCAGGGATAGGTGGGGCGTTGTCAAGATAATGGCCCCTTTCGGGGTACCCTAAATATTTGGAGCCGTGTTATAATGGAAGAACAAAAAGCGTGCAGTGCCAGACTTTTCACACCGCTCTTGTGTCCTGATGGTGATGATCCGGTGTCTGCATGGGAAAAGCTCTCACAGTACTGAGATTCATGTTGTTCCATGAAGGTGGAGGCAATCAGGAAAGACGTCTCAGGCAGCACCAGACTAGAATTCTTGTCAGCGAGCATTTGGGGCGTTTAAGGCAGGGAGCATGCAGGTGGCTGGTCAGACATTCTGGTCCAGGGATATTGCCCCCACCCCCCAAATGGAGAATCAAATGGAAAAGATGCTGGGGAAATGACATGGAAGATTGTACTTCGTTTGTAGGGATATGGTAGATTGCAGGTCACAGGTGCCTTTTGGCAGTAAGCTTTTCTAAAGCCGTGGCATGCATCCGAGAATGCCTGCAGGAAGCTGCATCCGAGTCTACTTAACGTGGATTCCGCGCAAGGACCGCTTGGACACAGGGTGCTGGGGGCAAAGGTTCGTGAGCGCTGGAGCAGGGGAAGTATTGCCAGATGACTTCTACAAGTGCGTTCAGGATGACTACTGGTTAAGGCTTGATTTTCAACCTACTGGTTCTTAGTCGGGAATAAATGACTGATATCCTTATACCACATATTCCCATATTCTGTACGAAGAGGCAGTAAGTCAATGGGCATGGTTGGGGAGATCTCATGGTAACAGGTTTACGCCAATCGGGAAAAAGCCAGGGACGGCACAGCGCAGTAGCCTTGGCTCAGGTTCAACCGAGGTAGGGGAAAGCCGCAGGTATATAGTCCCCTTAGTAGATAGAATATGGGGTATATGGGGATCTTATTATAACATACTAGAAGCCACATTTTATCTACTTCAGGGGGACTACAACAGGTGATATCCTATAGTTGTTACAGTAGAGAACACTGGTGCCCAGTAGTAGACCTACCTGGGGTTTAACTCTTCCAGGAAAGCCAGCCTGATCGATAAAAACTCCCAGTCGTTCACAAAGGAGCCTTGCAACGCGGCTTCCGACGAGAACCCGCAGATCCTCTTCAACACCACATGCTAGGAGCACGGACTGGTTGTTCGCGTGGAGTGGAAAAGGAAGCCTAGATGTTATTTAGGAATCAGAGTTTAGGTGGGGGCTGGAAGTGGAGCCTGGTCAATCTCCTTTTCCATGATCCCCAGAACTGTCCCTGTCTTCTCACCCACTTTCCCCTTAGCATCAGCAAGTAAAGCCCTCGTGATGGCAATCATACTTGTTGTGACGATCGATGCCGCAGTTTCCTGCATTCCAGCTGCGATGATCAGTACTCAGTACTCAATACGGAGCCATGGAAGCCTTTATCCTAAAAAGTGTGCTTGGGAGCCAGCATGAGTTCTGAAGGTTTGTAGCTCGGGCTTTGACTTTGTACTGATATCTGGGATTTCCCCAAAGCAGGCAGGGATTGTATCTGGGCAGTTTCTAGGGCTTGGGGATATTACCCCAACAGTAGATGAGTAGAGAATCAAATTGAAATGGAAGTGGAACCATGAAATTTAAGCCGGGCTTATGTTGTGGTCTTTCGGGATTGGGGTTTCCACCCTCGGAGTCCCCAGAGTGAGGATCATCACATATTCGGGTTCATGTTACGCCCTCTATCCATGGAACTCCTGACTTGGAGGCGTACAGACTGAAGTCGTAGTTTTCAAAAAAAAGGGGCCAATACCGCAAGATCGACCCCATGACTTTATGATCCTTTGTCTGAGAACCCCATCTTGGGAAATGCCCAAGTGTGAAGGCAAACCGAGACCTGTATGTTCAACGTTGGAGCTCACAAGTTATGCCCGAAGTTGAATCTCCGAGCCCAAACAAAGACTTCAAACCCCCACGTATCCCTACATGTCCCCATACAACCCTATGTAGCCTCTGCATCATCCTACATAAGCCCTCAACCCCTACACCCCGAAACCCGAGACGCTAACCTAAAACCCAAATTCTAAAATGAGACCCTAAAGCCCATCTACAACCTGTAAACCCTATATACCCCATTATAGTACTTTCCATTTCCATTATCCCAATATTATCCCAATTTATTCCTATATAACACCAATATTACCCATGATATTCCCACTTTCCATTTCATTTTCCATGTTTTTTTCCATTTGATTCTCCATTATTGGGGTATTATCCCAATATTACCTAAACCCTAAACCCCATAAAACCCTATAAGCCCCTATAAAACCCTATAGATCCCTATGAAACCTTATAAGACCATATTACCCCAATACCCTAATGTGGGGTTTCAGGTTGGGAAGTTGGCAAGGCGTGCTTCAACGCCATGAAGGCCTGCCCCAAATCGCGCAAAGCTGGGATTTTCGGATTCAGGGGGGTCCAGCCTTTAGGGTTTTGGGTTTAGGATTTTCGGGTTCAGGGATTATGTGAGATTTTAGGATTTGGGGTGGGGTTTAGGGCTTAGGGGTTTAGGATTTAGTGTGTGGGGTTTAGGCTTTAGGGTAATTATATATATGTAGATCTATAAGGTTACACACCAAAACATGAATGGAGAATAAATTGGAAAATAAAATGGGACATGAAATGACACAACCACTGAGAGTGAAGGGTTTAGGGTTAATGGTTGTCAGTGGCTGGTGTCTTCAATTGGTTTCTCCTTTGGGGCTACATACTGGATTATACTGGTACATCACAGAAAGAGGGGTCTCAAGGGAAGCTGTGA